AATTACAACCTTATGGACTGTGGCTACCTGCAATTATCTATCCACTATATTAAAATAAGTTCAATCGTAATCAACAGACAACTGAAGTAGCATATTATCCTTTCAAAAAAAATTGAAGTACCATACTATCTTATCTGTAAGCTTACCAGTTAAAAATTTAGAATCCCCAATTTTAAATATCTCTACCTATATTTATCAGAATTTAAAAAAAAAAAAAAAGCAATCATAAATATGTATCATTTATTTATTTATTTATTTTTGGTTTATATCACGAGTGTCCTCAGTTCATCGGGCTAAGTTTAATCCTACTCATGTGACGCTATACTCATAAAGAGGAAGCACTCTCAGAAGGATTTTCTCCATTTATAAGGATCAAACACTCGACTTCTTGCTTAAAAGACCGAGTCATTTCCACTCAAATCAATCCCTCTATCATTTAATTGTAATCCCTAGTATGACAAATAATTGTAGTCATATCCATTTTTAAGTATTTTCTCTTTTTGGTAAAAAAGGAGAGCAAAGCTATAGGATTACATGCACAATCTAGGATAAGTTGCCCACTGTTTTCATGAAAAAGAAATGAACAAAGACCTTGAGGAGGATCCAAAAGAACATTAGTGCCTATTTCATAGCCCCATAAAAATTGACTTCTCTGTAAATATACTTTACTTCACAATGTTTATATATATTACTTAATAAGTTGTTGAATAGCAAGAACTAGTTGTAAAACAGCTCCTAAAGAAGTCATTTAAGTTATTTTTTAATATATAATTCATTAATAGTATCAAAATTCCAAGTATTATAAATTATTACTTGCGTATATCAGATATAAAATGTCCTACTATACTTAATCGAAGAATTGTTTAAATTCTTTTGAATAATAAAACAAGATCCTTTCTTGTTTTGATAGTCGAACAGTCTTAGATAAAACATGAGTACCCTTAATTATTGTTTTCGAAAAAATTGAAGAATAAAAAATATAATGAAATTCTAACTCTTATAAGAGTACCATAAAAATTCTCAACAACCCTGATTCTTTACCCCTATAGTTTAATACAGTTGTTGTAGTAATTTATAGCACAACTAGCAGTCGCAGGAGCGATGGTATCTTAGCGCATTTGGTCAAGGAAAGTCACACGTAGGTAGTGAAAATTGTACTCTAGTCCAACTGATACAAGCAAAGGATCAGATTTTTAATAGCAAGGCTGTGTGTAAAAACTTTGCAAAAAACCAAAAATCAAAAACTGAACCAAATTAAATTAATTTTAATTTTTAGTTCGCTTATTCATTTTTCATTTTCAGCTTTGGTTTTCGGTTATTGCAAAATAATTAATTCCTGAGTAAAATCGAATTAGTAAATCGAGTCGAATCAACTGATTCAGTCCGATTTCTAAATTAACTTTGGTGCGATTCAATTTTGTGAAAATACTAATTTTAATTTTTGATTTTTGCATTTTGGTTCGGTTCGAAATCGAAGTGCCTATTTGAACAATTATATTTAATAGGGTTTAAATTGAAATTCAACTATAATTTAATTAAAATATATAATATAAAATAATTTAAAGTTAATAAATTTTTTAAATTTTATAAAAATTAAAATAAATTTGAAAATTAATGAAATTTATTAACCTCAAAGATAAAATTATCTTTAAAGTCAATAGTTCAAAATCTGGAGTTACAACTTAATTGTTTATAAAGAGGACTTTACTTGAGGATCATCATGATTCATGACTTGAGTTGTGCAAAACTTTTAAAAAAAATCGAAAATATTATGATAAATAATTTTCATTATAATAATAGTTTTAGCAATAACTAATCAAGCAAATTTTTAAATAATAATGAATATATTCGATAGATGTACCTCACAAATAAAAAAATTTACAATATTTAATTTTATGAGAGTGATGAGCGTATTAAATAAAAAATGTTTTTATAAATAAGAATAGAATATTTAATTTGAGAAAAATAGCATTTTATAAATTTAGTAAAATTAAAATAAACTTATCAATAAATTATGATTATGTATTTTAAAAATAATATGAAATAAAAAGTGAGATAATAGCTCAGATAAATGTAGTGTTCAGAAAATGTTAAAATAATTTGTGTTTTAAGTAACTCAAACAACAATTAGTAGCATATATTCATAATTTGGATTAGACACCTATAGAAATAAATATTTTGAAATAAATTTCACTATTCAGGAATTGGTTTGAATGGAATAAACTCAGATTTTTTAAATAAGATATCGTGTGATTTAATTTTTATAAATAGAGAAAATATCGTTGTGGTTTATCGGTGGAATCCAATCATAGGATTCCATCATTTTTAAGTAAACATGATAAAACCCAAATGGAAAAAGAGATTGGATGTTGAAAAATTCGATTGATTAATGAAAAGTTAAGGAGGGATTATGAAAATGATGGAAAATAGTCAAAATCTATCTATCCATTCAATCTAAGTGAAATGAAAAGAAAGAAAAGAAAAGGCACACGAGACCACTAATATGAATGAATGAAGCGAATCCAACAACAAGACAACAAAAACAAGCAAACCCCCCTAACCCAGGTGTCAGCCTTCACCCAATTTTTGGGTTTTAGTCCTTTGCACCATTATTTCCCAGTTCTCCTCATTTATTGCTTTGCGTGTTCTCTCTCTCTCTCTCGTACTTATAGATCATATCTCCTTTATATATAGGGTTTTAGTCTTTGCACCATTATTTTCCCAATTCTCCTCATTTTATTGCTTTGGCCGTGTTCTCCTCTCTCTCTCTCGTACTTATAGAATCATAATCTCTTTATATTATATACTATAGATATATATATATATTAGTATATATATATATATATATATATAATATATATAGTATATATATATTAAGATATTCCTTTTATGTTACGTTAACGAGAAATTAATTCAGTTTTGCGTTTCAGATATATATTAAGATATTCTTATGTTCCGTTAACGAGAAATTAATTCAGTTTGCGTTCAGAAGCGATTATATTAAAATTTGGTTTAGGAGCGATTGCAAGAGATTAATTCAATTCAGGTTTAGAAGCAATTATGTTGAAGCGCGGTTTAGGAGCAATTATGTTAAACTCCTTTGTAAGATACTCATTCTACGACTCGATCGATGTGATTACTGAATCAAATTATCTTGAATAATGAGATATTTCTTTCTCTCATTTATTCATTCTTTTTTTTTTTAATTTTCAAATAGAAATGACAATTACTAAAAGTGGGACTACATTATTTATATTTTATGATCTTAATTTAATTCATCTACTTATAGAATTGATCAATTATAGTTGAGTTGGTCTTCTAACTTCTATAAAAATGTGAGAAATAAAAGAACTCAACTGCATATTTTTCAGGAGAATTACTCTTATTATTCACAATATTATTTTGGCCGATTGGATATATATTTTTTAAAAAAAAAAAAAATTCAAAAGCATGCAATAGTGGACATAAATAAAGTGGAATACAATTAAGGTTTCGACTTATGTAGCTAAAAAAGGAAAAGCAATGGTTACTTATTTTCCTCTTGGAAGATCCTATATTTGTTGATGCTTTCTCATTATATCTTTTTTTTCTTTTTTAGTATATTTTGGTTTTCCTCTTTAGATGAGATGCCTTTTCTATTTCTCAAGACTACTAAATAATTAACAAACCCTAAACAATAGTGAATTTTTAAGAATTAATTGATGAATTTATGCTTCCTTAAAGAACTTAATTATTACCCCAAACAATTAATAATTTCATATTATATAATAAATAACTTCTCTTAGAAAGATTCCCTGCACAGGACTTAATCATTCTTGAACAGTTTCTGGAATATCTTTTAATTATTAATTAAGTAATAATCCAATTTCTTAAAAGGGTTGCATTGCAACTTGCTTCTCTGCCTCTAATCCCAAGTATGGTTTTCTTAAACAAAGCTAAATGGTTTTTGACATACCAAGCTATTTATTTATTTTTAAATTCACAACTACGGATATTCTACATCTCCATATGAGACCAAGATGACTTGTCACGATGGATAGAATAGAATAATTCAGCCATAAAGATTCACTAATTACTTATTTATGCTTCATTATTTTGCAAAATATAGAGGTTAAGCCTTTATAGCATCCTTAGTACATCTCTCTCTTAAATTAAATAAAAAAAAATTAAACTTGAAAATTATATATAGGAACCAGTTTGAAAATTTTAAGGTCCATTGGACGAGCTTTAGAGTATACTATCATTAAACTCGAATTTGCTTTGAACCAAACTTTTTAAATTTTTTTCAAGTCAAGCTCGAACAGCTTGCGAGTTGACGGAAAAAGTAAGAGTACAAGTAAGAAAATATCGAGCTCCAAGAAAATTGCAATGAACAAAAAATAAAATACTTACTAAAGTGTGTTATCCTTTTTTTTTTTTTTTTAAGTGCTCAAAATGCGTCTGCATCTAATATATATTCAAAGTTGAAGTTCATTGCTTCACAGACAATACCCAACAAAAATGAAAGTGTGCTATCTAGTTCATGTATAAAATTTCTTTAAAATATTATTTGATAACATTTTATTCATGTCAGGTATCAGTAGAAAAATTTATTATTTTAAAATAAAGTACAAAACACATGAACATACATATTGTACAAATTCCTGATATAAGATTTGATGATTTGATAATAGTTTCACATGTTACTTAAAGAAAGAAATAATAATAATAATAATAAAAGAAATTTGTATTAAGGTTAACTCATGGGATATACTAAATTGGACAATGCTTATTAACTATTGTTGGGTTTGACTTTCGTGAATTATTTATTTCCATTAACACCCTTCCTTTCTTTTTATACTTAAATTAAAAAATTATATTTTTTTTAAAACAATAATTATTTTTATTTTATTTCTGTGGGTGGGGAATATTGAAGTTGTAGTATAGTTAATGATCAGTTAGATCCCTGTATTAATGTTTCTGCCATAGAAACTTAGGTATAAACTATAATCATCATCATCATTAATTACTATCATTATCATATCATATGCTATGTCTATTATCATATATTAGGGTTTTATAGCTTTAACCCAATGCTTCCCTTTTCCTTCTCCTTCTTCTCCTTCATTTCTCCTTGTACATGTTTACTGTACTTCTCCATCATTTTCATTAAACCACCACCACCTCCACCTCCACCACCGCCTCCACCTTCTATTTTTTATTACTATTATGTTAGGTTCTTTAAATTCTTCTTCTTCTCATGACCAAGAAGAAGAACCAGAACCGTTAGATCTACATCTTCCACATCCACCACCGCCACCTCCACTACCACCGTCACTGCCACTACTGCCGCCGCCTTCATCTACACATATGCATCAATTACTTATAAGCTGCGCCGAGCTTATTTCTCAGTCCGACTTCTCTGCCGCCCACCGCCTTCTTTCAGTCTTATCCTCTGCCTCTTCTTCCTACGGCGATTCTAGAGAAAGATTGCTTCACCAGTTCGTTAAAGCACTATCTTTCCGTCTCAGCCACCGCGGTGGAGTTGACGCGGGAAGCAGTAGCAGCAGCAGTACCGCCAGTAGAGAATCGGAAGAAGCTCTTCAATCTTGTTATTTATCTTTAAACCAAATCACTCCATTTATAAGATTTAGCCATTTAACTGCAAATCAAGCTATTTTAGAAGCCATTGAAGTAGGGCAACAAGCTATACATATCATAGACTTTGATATCATGCATGGAGTGCAATGGCCGCCATTAATGCAAGCTTTAGCTGAACGTTCCACTAATACTCTTTATCCACCGCCGATGCTTCGAATAACCGGAACCGGTCACGATTTAAACATTCTTCACCGGACCGGTGACCGTCTTTTTAAATTCGCTCAATCTTTAGGCCTAAAATTCCAATTTCACCCTCTTCTTTTAAACAATGACCATTCTGCCCTTCCCCTCCATCTTCCATCCGCCATTACTATCCTGCCAAACGAAGCTTTAGCAGTAAACTGCGTCTTTTACCTTCACAGGCTTCTAAAAGAAGATTCAAGAAATCTTCGAATATTTTTGCACAAAATCAAGGCTTTAAACCCTAAAGTGGTTACAGTAGCAGAAAGAGAAGCTAACCATAACCATCCATTCTTCTTCCAGAGATTTCTAGAAGCTTTAGATCACTACACAGCCATATTCGACTCTTTAGAAGCAACAGTAGCGCCAAATAGCAGAGAAAGATTGGCTGTAGAGCAAATATGGTTTGGAAAAGAGATAATGGAGATTGTAGCAGGAGAAGGAGAAGAAAGAAGAGAAAGACATGAAAGATTTGAAGCATGGGAAATGATATTAAGAAGCTCAGGATTTAGTAATGTTCCATTAAGCCCTTTTGCATTATCACAAGCTAAGCTTCTTTTAAGACTCCATTATCCTTGTGAAGGTTATCATCTTCAGCTTCTTAACAATTCTTTCTTCTTAGGTTGGCAAAATCGTTCCCTTTTCTCTGTTTCTTCTTGGCATTGATGATTATGATCAATTATATCATTACCTAATTATTATTATTATTTATTAGTAATTATTAATCCTTCCAAAAAGTTCTTAAACCCCACTATATATCAATATCCCCACCACCCACCAAAACAAAAAGGCAAATTAAAGAAAGAGAAGAGGTTAGAGATTATTTTGCCTAATTTAGAGTTGTTAGAGTTTAATTTATTTTCACTTTTGGGTTAACTCGGTTTTAATCATTGAGAGTTCAAACTTGCAGTCTTATCCTCTTACAATCTTGAAAACGATTTCAATAAACTTATTTAATTAGTAAAGAGTCAAAACTTATTAGTTAGTATTTAATTTCCAATATACATATTTATATATAAACCTCTCTTAATTTTTGTAAACTTCTTTTTCTCAGCTGTGAGGATTTATTAGTTTGCATGCATGGGGAATCCATGGATGAGTTTTGGCATGAAGGAATTAATGAACACAGCTTCAACTAACGCCAAATACAAACACCTTTTTGATGTCTCACTTCTTCTTCTCCTCCTTCTTGTTCTTCTTGTTCTTCTTCTTCTTCTTCTCTTCCTCCTTCTTCTTCTGTCCAAGGGAGCTAATCAATTGAAACTGAGCAGTGATTTAGATATATTTGTTTGATGATGTATTATATATGTAGTGGGGTACGTTGACATGTATGATTTGCTTTTGTTTTTTTTATCACCTTTGTCTCTCATTTTAGATTTATTATTATTATTATTATTATTATTACTTCAATTAATTTGTAATTTGTAACCTTTTTGTTATTTTTTCCCTCCTTTGATTAATTAATTAATTAATTCATTCTGTTATTATGTGCAAAAAAAGATCCTCTCTTGGGCATCTCAAAAGGGCAACAATTGTTATGTGGAGCATTTGATCATCAATATCCCTTAATGCATGCTTTAATACATTCCAATACATCTCCAAAAGCTTAGAGCACAATATCTTATCTTTATTTTATATATAATAATTAACTAATATCTTTACTTTTGTTTATTTTAATACTAATCCTTCACTCTTGCTTGATTTAATACTCTTTTTGCAATTATCCTGGACGTACACTGCTGTCTTATCTTAATATTCTTTTTTCTTATTCTATAGTAGAAATTTATTTAATTAATTAACATTGATAGTAACATATTTGTGTGTGTTTGCAAATGAGCCACTCTTGTTTCCCAAAATTCCTTTGTCTCCTTCAATTCTATTGTATGTTTTGTGTTTCTTTCTGGTTTCAAGAGAGGGGTGCATGAAGGGTGGGGTGCCCTTTCTTGTTTTCTGCACTAAGTACCCTCTCATGCACACACACACACACACACACACACACATATATATATATATATATATCTCCCTCTCCGTGTATACCTATTGCTGTCTTTCATATGTAGCACCCCCTAAATTAATTACCCTAATTTCTGCCCTTTGTCCCCTCAACAAAACCATCGAACTTGTCAAAATAGAGAGCTTTTCATGCCCACTTTGCCTCCTCTACAACCATGCATATTATCAACAAAAAACCCTCTCCTGTGTTATAGGGATCTTCTTGTGTCCTGTACTTAATTTTTCATTAGTTAGGACCACACACCAGAATTCTCTTGCATAGCTTCTCATTGATCAAAAAGATTATGCGAATTCTTAATAGTTCAGTGGTTCCGTGCTCAAATCTTGATAGAGGATCTTCCTGCATCATACATTTTCTTCTTTTCTTTATTAATAAGCTAAGCATGCTGATGCATTTTTTGATTTAATACAAGGACATCACAACTTTCTTGCATTTCGATCAATGGTTAATTAGCTTCTCGACACAAAGCCAAAATCTGATTCCTAAACTATGGAATATATAGGAGTTTAAACTATGTTATAGGGACCAAACCACAATTCTTTTGCCTTTCTAGCTCTTGTCAGTGGCTAGCTTCTCATAAACCTGAAAGATAATGTAAAAGTATGGTTCTTAGCTAGTAGTTTAATGATTGACTGCGCCAAGATGTTACAAGCTACAATGAACTACCTAAACAAGATTTTAGAAATGGTCAAATGTTCATGTTCTAAAAACGGCTACGTTGGTGAGCCATAATATAATGTAATATGATGTAATGTAATAAAACCTTAACGTAAATGTTAATATTTTTTTTAACAGCAAAACAAAAGTGAATTTTGTTAAGAGAAAGAAAAATAACAAAAACTACAAATACTCAACTCGAAAGTTCTATATGACTCAAAAGTTCAATAACTAAGAAATCTTATGCCCTTTGACTACATTTTATTACGTTTCATTATGACTTGCCCAATGTAGCCATTTTCATTACATTTCATTTATGTTGTAGAACAGGATATATAACCTTTCTCTAAAAACAAAATGGTTCCCTGTAATGGATATTTGGCATGACTGAAGAGAGAGAGAGAGAGAGAGAGAGACCGAATGCTAAAACCATAAGACCATAATAAACCTTTAGGTTGCCACATTGGTAGCTGACAGTGATAAGATGGTCACAAGAGAGGGTGATGTCCACGCATTCACACAAAGTGTTTTTAGCTTATAGCTAGAGTTTGCGTGTTGAAGGCAAGACTTAAAGACAGAGAAATAGAAAGAAGCTATTTGTATATAATATAAATAGCTAAGCTAAGCTAGGGTTGGTGCAAAGGGCATGGCATGGTATCACATACAGAGAATCATTATTCCATCCTTCCCTTCCATCTATCAATCCATCTTTCTTTCTTTCTATCTATCTATCCATCTATCTGATTCAGACGTAACCTCTTGGCTTGTGTTTGTTACTTGTCCATAAATAAAAGTAAAAAAAAAAAAAACACTAAAACTATTTGTCGTTTGTCATTTGTTACAATCATTACAATGATAAAATGGGATCTTTAGGAATTAGGATCCATTAAGGGTTTGGATTATTTGCAGCCACAAACAAAAACTTTAATCATTCAATGATAGTACTTAGAAAGCTAAATATAAAAAAATAAAAATAAAAATAAAAAGCTCATGCTGATGCTGATTTGCAGTGTGATAAGGATATTCCTTTGTAAATAATACTTGTTTATGAGATAGTGGGTATCTTCCACCTATTTAGTATTTTAATTAATAATATATATAATTCCCGTTTTCACCTTGTCCATTCTTTTTCTTTCTTCCCAAATAATTCTGATTCTATACATATATGCTTTCCTTTTTCTGGTCCTGTCTATGTTTTGTGTGTTTTAGTGTAGAAAGAAATGAAGTAGAAAGTCCACACAGAATATAATATAAAGTGTCTTATTTTGTGATTCAAAAGATTATTTATTGGGAGAATTTAATTACAGACTTTATGTTGCATTACTATTAATTTCTACCATCATAATATTTCTTCCAGTTAGATCGATTGTTCGATCTTCATGAATGAAGAAAACTTTCAAAAGAAAAAAATTCATTGGTTTTGATATCCTAAATTACACATAAATACAGGATATGGAATACAACACGGTTTGCTTTGAATAAAAAAAAAAAAAAAACTGTAGAACCAAATAATAAAATATATATGGGAGTTATTCTATCATCAAGTTTTACAAGTGCCAGTGCTTGTCAACTCGTATTTTTGTTTTATTTTGATTTTTTTTTTTTTTTGGATTTAAACTTGTAAAGAAAATTAAGAAAAATAAATAGAATTGACTAAATTATGGAAACAACATGCTAATTCTCAGTTTTTTATGAATATTTTTAACATCAAGTTTTTTTTATGTTTTTTAATTTTAATTTTAATTTTAAATGGAAACAATTATAATTATATATTTTATATTAAGACTTTAATTTAAAATTCTGATTAATCATTTTATCTATGAGCTTCAAAAAAAAAAAAATCAAAAGTCTCTAAAATATCAAAAAAGTGTGATAGAAATGTTCAAGAGAAGTTGAAAATTAATAAAACAAAAAATTAATATTACACGTTTTAAGAAGTATCGGACATATATTCAAGAGATTCTATGTCCAGTATAAAAACGATATGGACAAATTAGACTTGAGAAGGTAACCATGCTATTTAATTTATGTCTATCGAGTGACGTAAATAATAAGACACGTTTAATTAAAGCAGATATATTGATCTCTATAATGTTAAGAGTCCAATTTATAAAAAGCACTTATAAAGATTGGCAGCCACAAATTTCGCAATAAGACTAATCTCATAATGGAAAGAAATATAGGATTTGGGAAAACAGAATAAAGGTCCATTGATTTATTTTTATAGAAAAAAAGGCTTAAACATTACAAGTGCCCTTAAATTAACAAAGAAAATGATTTGCGGAACTCATACACCAAAACTAATAAAAATAAATTTTCCGCCACAACCCCAAACTTTCATTTTTGCCCTTCAAACCCTCCGACTGTCCTTTCGAATACCTTTTCCTATCGAATACCTTTTTCTAGGAAGATTTTATCTCGACTGAGTTCATTATTTCACTCATGGATTAAATCAATGAAAATAATATTTTTTTATCGAAATTAGGGTATTTCTGACTATATACTGGAAAAAAAAGATAAAATCGGAATATTTTTTAAAGAATTTTTAGTGTCATTAATTTGATCTATAAGGGTGGCTATGGACCCAATTTACGCAAATAATTTCCATCTCTCCCTCTCCTCATACCCGATGAAATCTCAAATCATGACTTAAAAAAATTTACTTTTTATTTATTTATTGAAAGGTGAAAATGGCTGAAAGAATATTGTGGTATATACAATAAGGTAATCCGTTATTCTACCCATCAAATTAGTGATTGTGGTCGATAGATACTTAAAACTTCTAATCTTTACGTGAGTAGCAAGAATACGAACCAGATCATATCGGTCGACTAAAAAAATAAATTACTTTTTATATAATACATGTTTTATTATTGTCTATGTAACATAAAATACTTGGTTTCTTACCGTCAATATAAGAGTGGCCACGTGTCAGTTTAGTTTGTGGCATTACTCCTCAAGCAAATTCTTTTGTTTTCCCATTAAATATATACATTTCAATAGGTTCTAACAATAGATTCTAAACAAAACCTTATTATTATTATTATTAAAATAATGATTTGGAATCAGGCATTTCGATTCATTCGCAATGGTTCCTATAAGAGTGGTTTATTTTTGGAGGGGAACCGAACCAAAATCAATTCAACCTATTTCAGTTACGGCTTATTCCATTAGTCTGTAAAAATAAAAATTAGAGTTAAAAACAGAAATAAATATCTGACAAAAACATAAAACAAAACTTGATTAGAAACTATGAGAAACTCTAAAAGAAATACTGTAAAACGAATACGGATATATAAAAAAATTAAAACTTAATTTAAAAAAGTTTAGATCACAATAAATTACTTTTTTTTCTTTCTATAAAAATAGGTTCATTTTTCTTTTTAATATGTCTCATATTATCATTAGTCAAATATTAAAATAAAATAACTTTTTGTCAAAAAAGTATCATTTTCGTAATTAAATATCCTGTAATATTTAATTACTTGGTATTTTTATGTTTAATATAATGTTATTATTGAAAATTGCACTATTAAATACTTAAACTCATAATTAAAATTGTACTTTAAAGATTCATCAAAATAATGAAAAATGTGAATTATTATTTAATAAATTATTTTAAAAAATTATAAGATGTTCGACTCAGTAAATACAATATCTAATACTTGAAAATTTTCTAAATTTGAGTTCAACAAGTGTCATTTTACAAATTGAAGTTAATAATATATATTTTT